GTCTGAGACCCTCACCTTATCTGTGTGAAGAAGGAGATCACACAAGAGAAATCATTTCTTTAATTCTGTGTTTTTAGGAAGGAGTTAGTAACTTTTTTTCTTTTAAACCATGCCACATTCTTTTATCTTAAGACTTTCTGTTAATCACATTGAGTAATGAAGGTATTCTAGGGAGGGGATACCACTGGTTGAATCAAGGGAGTTGTAACTATAAAAGGTAATGTTAATTTGCAACTGAAAACAGCTCTTCACCCTCTTCAGGGTCTGGTGGTTCCAGTCATCAGGAATGTGGAAGCTATGAATTATGCAGATATTGAACGGACCATCACTGAACTGGGAGAGAAGGTAAAGTAGAAAGATGTATACAAGCTGCTGAGCAGGCGAGGGAAAAGAGCCTTCGGAAGGCTGGGCTCGCCAGCGAGCAGTGCTCATGGAACATCAAGTGCATAGCCCCTGAGAAAAGCAGTGGCCCATGAGAGCTAAGTATTTTATCTATCTGGTGGAGTTCACCGCGCTCTGGTAACTGAAATCTCATCAGATGAGACCTGCTAGAAAAGATCTTCTTTGAAGTCTTCAGCTCTATGAAGTTGTGCCTTTTCTCTGGTGGAGCCCTGGTCATAGACACCTCAGCCCGACAACTGTCACACGGAGGCTGGCGCTTGTGCCATCAATCTCATGATACAAGCTTTCTGGACTTCCTTTGCTTTTTTGTTTTTAGAGGCAGGGTCTCGCTGTGTTGCCCAGGCTGGAGTAGAGTGGTAGAGTCATAGCTTACTGCAGCCTTGCACTCCTGGGCTCAAGCGATTCTCCTGCCCCAGCTTCCTGAGTAGCTGGGACTACAGGTGTGCACCACCATGCCTAGCTAATAAAGTTTTTTGTAGAGGTGGGGTCTCACTGTGTTGCCCAGGTTGACCTTGAACTGGCCTCAAGCAGTTCTCCTGCCTCAGCCTCCCAAAGTGCTGGGATTATGGACTGACTTTAGATGAAGGAAGCTGGGTTGACTTAATACTTCAATGACGAAATCTGTTTTTAGGCCCGAAAGAATGAACTTGCCATTGAAGATATGGATGGCGGTACCTTCACCATTAGCAATGGAGGCGTTTTTGGCTCGCTCTTTGGAACACCCATTATCAACCCCCCTCAGTCTGCCATCCTGGGGATGCATGGCATCTTTGACAGGCCAGTGGCTGTAGGAGGCAAGGTAGGAACTCACTTCTAAGGTCCTAGAGGCTAGGTCTGGATGAAGGGGAAATCCAACTAAATGCTAATTGCAAAACATTATAATTCTAGGCCTAAGTTCCATTTCTTAGTTTCTAATAGCTAAGGCACTGATTATCAAATTGTGGTCTGGATCAACATCAGCTGGGACCTTGTTAGAGATGCATATTCTTAGACCCCATCCCAGACTTAAAGAAGAAGTGCAGATGATCCCGATGCATATTCAAGTTTGAGAACCACTGAGCTGAGAAGGCTTGTTTGCTTCTATGGAGTGGGGGATATAGTTGGAGACATGGTCCCTTGGCCCTGGGAAACAGATGACATTTATGCATGTCAGTCTACGAGCTGGCAAGTTGTATGATAAAGCTTGGAAGTTTCCCAGGAGTTCAGAGAATTAAGTATTAAAGGGGCTTGAGCTGGCCCTTAGAAGATACGTTGATATCAAAAGCTTTCTGGGAACTCCTGTGTTTAGAATCTTTTTGGGTTACTGACTCCTGTGTGAAACCAAAATCCGTAGATCTTCCTGGAAAATGCCCACACACCCAACTACACATACAATTCCAGAATTTGTAGACCCCAGCTTAATTTTTTTTTTTTTTTTTTTTTTTAATTCTAACGCCAGAGAAGCAAGTACAGGCAGCCAGAACTGAAGGGAAGACTTTTCTCGTAGGCAGCAGATGCATTAGAGGGCAGAGTATGTTTTTAAAAAATAAAAGACAGTTGTGAGAGGAGTTTTCTTGGCAAACTTTGTTTCTGAGTGGGGAAGCTTTGCACTGAGGGTAAGGCCTGGTCTTTGAAAATACTGTAAATATGCAGAGGCAACGTCAATAGGAAAGGCTCTGGAAATAGGAACTTTCTTATGGGCCGTGCTAAATCTCTTCCTTCAGCAAGGCTGGCTGTGGCTTGCTGGGGACAAACCTCTTGACCTTTCCTCTCTGTAGGTGGAGGTGCGGCCCATGATGTATGTGGCACTGACCTACGACCACCGGCTGATTGACGGCAGAGAGGCTGTGACTTTCCTCCGCAAAATCAAGGCAGCAGTAGAGGATCCCAGAGTCCTCCTCCTGGATCTTTAGGAGGAACCCACACACCCTATAAATTGATCATGCAGGAACTGAAAATCAGTCTTCTCCCTGTCCCGTCATGGGTCCCGGGTTAGCCTGGTGACAGGCAGGCACATGCTGTTGGCCTCAAGCAAGGAAGCAGAGCACTATGTAACCAGCAGTCACAGGTCTTTTCTTGGTGTTCCTGCCAGGCTCTCTCCCTCTCTGCACCTGTCTCATACCCTCGAATATCTTAATTCCTTAGGCTTGAGAGAGAGAGCCTTAATGGATGCTCATCCATATTCCTGCCTTTCTTCCATCAACCCTCCGCAGAGATGATTTTGCTTCTCCCTAGTGCTGGTATACTATAGAGAAACCCCCGGGGACCATGTTATTAAGTTCCTATCTTTTGAAAGTTTGTTCTGCAGAGATGTTTAGGAGGATGCTGTGCCTCCCAAGCTCAGAGCAGCCTCTGTCCTGGCTGTGCACATTCTCCCTTGATTCCACTTGTGTGGAGGGATTGAACACAGGCAAAGAGGTGCTGCTTTGCTTCTTCAGTGGCACCTTCATTCTCCGTTGTCATTGACTTCAAGATGCCTCTTCTACCTCTTCCAGGAAGCACAGGCCAGGGGATCTGGGTGTGTGAGTGGGAGGAGAGGGCAGAGGTCCCCTGAGGTCACGTGTTGTAATCACCATAGGAGAGCCCGGGCCGACACTCTCCATCGTAGGCTTACACCAGGAAGACTCGTCTTGGCACAATCTCACACAGCTGGGGCTGTAGCAACCCTTTCCAAACCCTTTCCTGGTTGCTGGGCCTCATTCTAGCACCTTGTTCTTACTTAGAGCAGATTCTAGCACATCATGGCAGTGGGACCGAGCGTGGTCCCGAGGAAGGGCCGGAGCCTGGTAGAGACTAGGGAGGGGAGGTCTCCTCTAAACTGACTCAGATTGACTTGAGCTTTTCAATTAAGTTGCTGTAAGCACGTGGGCTGAGGAGGCAGTTCTTATTCCTTCCTGCGTTATAGTGGGGCCTTGTCTCTTCCTCTGCAGGACACAGATCTGGAGGACATGGACTGGGGTAGGAAACCACCCTGAGGGTGTTAGTACATAGTAGTGAAATGGATGAGGTCATTTCTAAGGTGTGTTGCCCTTGGATCTGGGCACAATCATTGGAATTCCTTGGAGCATGGTTAAATGCGAATGAAAGCTACTGGGATTCATGGCTTTGTATCCAACCGCATCCAGGCCTGAGGCTGCTGACATTTGACACCAGGGCCAGTAGAGAGTGCCCTTTTGTATCTTGAACCAAGAAGTGAGGCCTGGGGGTGGGGGAGGGGGGAAGGGGTGGGAGCCAATACTGAGTGCCTGCAGCATCTACTACTCTGTCTTCACTATTCAGAACTTGTAACTAAAGTATTTAAAGAAACTGATTTTAAATGCAAATTAAAGGGCAGATGTTCTCAAACAGGGTTCCTGTATCTGTGTTCCTTTTGGCTACCGAGGTGGTACAAGTCCCCAGTACTGTTGCACTGACATCATTGAAAACCACTTAAGGTCCTGTTGCTTACCTTGTGGAATCAGAAATCCCTTATGTGGAAGTTAACACTGTCCTAATTTGACAGAAGGTAGAATCCTGACTGCCAGCCAGGAAAGTGTTGCCGAAGAGTCAACCTCTTCAAACAAATATTTGAAGAGATTTATTCTGAGCCAAATGTGAGTGACTGATGGTCTGTGACACCACCTTTAGGAGATCCTGAGAACATGTGTTCAAGGTGGTCTGGCTCCAACTTAGTTTTACACAGTTAATACATTTTAGTGAGACATAAGACACCAGTCAAATACATGTAAGATGTACAGTGGTTTGGTCTGTAGAGGGAGGACAGCTCAAGGCCTAGGGGTGTTGTCATAGGCAGAATCAAAGATTTTCTGATTGGCAATTTATTGAAAGAGTTACTATCTAAAGACCTGGAATCAATAGAAAGTAATGTCTGGGTTACAGTAAGTTGTGGAGACCAAGGTTTTACGCAGATGAAGCCTCCAGCCAGCAGGCTTCAGAGAAAATAGATTGTAAATGCTTCTCATCAGACTTAAGGAGCCTATTTTAGGGTATAATGAGGCATGGCTGGCTCCTTCTTCCCACCATGGCCCGAACTAGCTTTTCAGGTTAACTTTGGAATGCCCTTGACAGAGGAGGGGTCCATACAGATGGTTGGGCTTAGGATTTTATTTTTTTTTAAGTTTTCAAAAGCATCATTCTTAGTGCCCTAGCTTCCTTGAGCCTGTCAGGCCATACTCTAGAGAATTTGGGGTCACCATCTTTATGAAGCCCTTTCAAAACACCAGTAGACTTGCATTTTTTGTGGGGGCTTACATTATTTCAGTGATGGATTTGGGAGGGGTGGGAGCATCTCATTTCATTTGGATTTGATTACCTCATGTACCAAGATGCTCAAGGTCAATACACATGAACAGGTGAGAGTTGATGACCACCTAGGAGCAGTGGTCAGTGAGGGTGAGTATACAGGGTTGGTAGCTAACCTAGACTGCAGGTGGCAGGTGTGATGGATTCCAGGCTTAAACACAGCCTTGCCTTTCCACAGTCCCTGTCTGCTGAGCTCTCTTGCGGTGAGGCCATCCCTCTGTGAAGGTCTCACGGGAGGGAAGTGGGTCCCAGAGGGTAGAACTAGAGCTCTAGTAGATAGAAAAACAAATTAGGTTGAATGAAAGGAAGAACAGGACTTGGTGTTAGAAGCTTTAATTTGTCTGGTAAACCTGCAAAATAGGCATTGCTTGCTCCATTCTATCGAAAGGAGGTCGACTATAAGAGCTGGGACCCACAGTATTCTAAACTCAGGGCCCAACAAGGTACCAGACATGTAGCGTTGGGTGGATGAAGCACAGAAGTTCCAGAAGTGACTTGTGTTTCATGAAGCAGTGGTTGGAAGTGGTCCAGCCTGACAGGGAGAGTAGCAGAAGGAACACTAACTTGCAACTTTGGCTAGGTGTCCTTAACCTCTTTGAGCTTCAGTTTTCTCAGGAGCTGCCTTCTGTTGCAAGGGGTCACTGTGAGGATGCAACTGGCATTCCCCCAGGGGCCATGAGCCTCTTCCAAGGCTGCTTCATCCTCTTCCCCACAGAGCCTAGTCCTCCTCCTGACCTCACCACTTCCCCTGAGGCCCAGGGCACAGGTGGCATGCTGCTCACCACCAGCCCTGCATCCTACTTCCTGGCAGCCCCCAAGCTCACTCTTGACTTCACTCTGGAGCGTCTATGGGGGAGCCTTCCAAACTGCCCCAGTGAGCCGCGGTCATTGCATGGAAGAAGCAAGAACACCATAGACCAGAGCAGGCTTTATTGGGACTAGGTAAACCCCAGGGAGAGGCAGGATGTGAACCGCGGAGAGTCATACACAGGCTGCGCTTTCGCTTGTCCTCTCTGTCTCAGTCTCCTGAAGAGCCCGAGGAAGTCAGGTCTCCCCACCATGAGTGACAGGAGTCTGGCCTGACAGAATTGGGCCTTCAGAGCCAGACAGGTGGACCATGTAGGAAGCGCCACCTGGTGGTGACTGGGATGCTGGCGGGGAGGAGCTGGAGGCAAAAGTCTAGTGGAAGTTTCCCAGGTCCCACACCCCGGTGACAGGGTGAACCCTGAGAGGAGCCCCCAAACTGGGGGCGATTGTCTTTGGGACAACCACTCACCCCAGTTTTTCAGAGACCAGAAGCAAGACGTTTCTGGCTAAGAGCCATGGATAGTTGTTCCATACGTTTTGTGGTTTCTTATCCCAAAAGGACATGAAGTCACAGTAGGCAGTGACATGGTAAACAGCCAAAGCCTGAGAGGGGATCCTGATGGGCACACCTTGTCTCAGCTGCTTTGGCCTGGAGGCTGAATGAATTGCTGTCCTCTTGCACCCCTGGGGCAGGCTGCCCCCCTCCCCCCACACAGCTGGCCCCACTGGGGAGAAGGGCTCTTGATTCTGGTTTCAGACTTGCTCTAAGGGGCAGAGCTGTGCATTCCTTCCTCCCCCCATTCCTCTTATTTTCTTCCCCTCCCTTTTGCTCTCCCGAGTCTGAAATCGCAAGATAGGGGGCATGGTCAGGAATGGGGGGGTCTTCCTGTCCCCTACCTCATCCCTCCCCACACTACAGATGGCATCCTTGCTTCTGAGCCTCCCCAGCTGCAGTAACAGCTTCTGGTGGAAGAGGCCCACTCATTGTGTGACTAAGAGGACTAGCCAGGACAGTCTGGTTTGGGTCCACTGAGCCAGTGGATCAGTGTCCTGAGATGTGTCTCCAGAGATGTCCTGAGTAGGGCACAACATGGCAGTGAGTGAGTCACAGCACCTCACAGTAGGGTGCAGCAGGTGGTCAAGAGCTCAGCGCCAGTGCCACAGAAGGCAGCCTTTAACATGGTGAGTCCACATGCTCAACGGGTCTGTTGACTGATGGGTGGAAGGTTCAAGCTGCTTAGCAGGGCAAGCCTTGACTGCCCCCACCTCCAGCTTTTCCAGGAGCTGACCCTTCCTGGGTGGTGGCCATAATTCTGAGGTCCCAGTGGGAGCCCAGTAGGACAGGCAGTGCCCTCCATTCCTCGCCCGAAGCCCGCTGATAGAGGGCCAGCCCTGGGTGTCAGGCAAGGAGGAGAGGCGATCCAGACCAGGCCAGCTGCTTCCGTCACCTGCTCTACCCTCTTACCCCACCAGTTTGCTCCACTGGATGGTACTGAAAAAGGGATGGGACTTGAGTTTGCTGACACCACCTTCTCCCACGCCCAGGCGCCGGGTAGGCTCGAACTGCAGCAGCTGCAGAGAGAGGCCCAGTCAGCTGGCCTGCCCCACTCCGGCTGTGAAGGCATGGGGTGACCTCCAGGGACTCCAACCACTATGGCCCCTAGGGGGCCTGCTCCCTGGCAACCTGGCCCATGGAACCCACATTTTACCCTGGGGACATTAGTGGTGGTTGGCCACCAACATGTAGAAATGTGTTGACCCTACTGTCCTCTGCATCCACATCAGACACTGAGCACGAAGCACACGTGGTGCAGACACAGTTCTGTGCCCCTCCCAGCACCTTTCTCAGGCTAGGCAGCTGCTTCCTCTGGCCGGGCTACACCTCACCTCAGTCAGCAGAGAGGCCGCCGGACGACTGAGCCACTCGGGCAGCTGGAGCTGGGTGTGGGCCTGGATTCCTGAAGGGTGGTTCTGGGACAGTGCCTGGGAGGACACAGGGAAGGGCCTCTGAGGAGGCGACCCCAGAACTGTCTACATTACAGTGGCAGCCAGGATTTTTTTTTCCCATGTCACATCCCATGAGGATGATGACAATGATTATAGTTGCTAGGGCCAGACACTGCCTGATGGCTAAGCAGTGCCTTTACGTTATCCACGAAAGGCAAGAAACAGGCCCAGAGAGGTAAAGGGACTTGTGCCGAGTTCAGGGTTTGAACCTAGGTCTTGGCTCCAAGCTTGCTAGAAGCAACTATCTTGGGTTGCAATCAGGGCAGGCACTCTTGAGAACAGTGATGGAACTTTTCTCCTTATTTAAAAAATCCACATTGGCTATTCATTTGGCAGCAGGCCACAGCATGCTACCATCGGGGCCAAGGCAGGGGCGTGGCAATAAAATAAAATAGGACCTCTCCACACCCCAGAAAGGTACAGCTTTGGGGAGCAGAGGGTCTGTCTGGAGGGAAGTATGAACTTCCAGGAACCCCTAGGAGGAAGGCCAGGAGCTCTGGGCTGGAGAGGTGAGAGGAGACAGGAAGGAGAGAGCCACTCTGCGGGAAATTGCAACCAGGACTCTCAGGGGCCCTGTGCCATGGGACGAAAGCAGGAGGGAGCCTGGATGGACTGGTCAGATCTGGACTTCAGTTCACGCTGCATCCATTCTGGCTATTTCCTGCTCAAATGCACTTTGGCCTCTCCCTTGTTGCCTACAAAACTGGTCTCAGTTGTGGTGCTGAGCTCATGAGTGAGGAGGATAGAAGGCAGAGCCATTTACTGTTCCCAAGAGTGCCTGCCCTGACTGCAACCTGCAAACACAGGTTCCTGAAGTGTTTGCGGGGGATCTTTTGAGCTCTTGGCTGACCCAGGCTGGACAGGGCAGCTGCTTGCCTGGGTGAAAGAGCCCCTCTCTCCCATCCTCCAGCGAAGGTCTGGGAGTGGCAGCGCACGAGGGCATGGGTGGGAGGAGTGAACAGTGGGCTCAGGAGGATCGAACAGAATTCCAGGGAAGAAGGGCTGTGTCACATTTTGCGCTTCCTCCAAATCTGACACCACCTGGGCCCAGGCTCTCTCTGGCAGAAACCTTCGCTGACCACCCCACTCTACTCTCATTCACAGAAGTTGACAGTCTCCTTAGCTATAGCCAACTAATGTGTTGGGAGTGCTAAGTGTGTCCCCGGCTTTGGGGGCAGCTGTGCTGGCAGGACAGTCAGGCAGTCTCTGCCCAGACTGAGTGACTGGACTAAGCCTGGCCCATCCCACACTCAGTGGCACCCACCAGAGCACGACACCCAGCCCAGCCACTCACCATTCCTGTCAGCAGTTCATACAGTAGAGACCCAAAGCTCCACCAGTCACAGGCTTCTGTCAGCTCAGAAATCCCACCCACCTCTGTGGGAACAAGAACACGGGTCCCAGCCTCACCCAAGAGGGCCTCTTCCGTTCTCCTCAGCCTACCCAGACACCACCCACCCCCTCTGTCATTCTCAGACTCTGGGAGCAACCCCCACAAAGGCACCCAGGTGCTAGGGCCCACCCCGGCCTCCCCCTTCTTGCCTGGGGCGCTGTAGAGATTGTCCACGGCCTCCCCGCAGCACTGGGGCTCCACCTCTGACCACTGGCCAAAATATGTGAGCCGGATGTGACCTCCAGTGTGTAGGAGGAAAAAGGAGGGGACAAAGATTGAGGACAGCTGACATAGGGGAGGGGGTTCCAGGGCTTCCCCCAACAGTCATGTGGTAGGAGCCAATGGCCTTGCTGGGCAGAACCTCTGCAGGGGCACAGCACCCTGAGGCCCACAGAGCCCACAGGGTACTCCCAGGAGCCTCAGCCAACAGACTCCGGCCTAGGCCCACTGAAAGGCCGGCTGGGGCCAGGGAGGAGAAGACAACCTTGGAGGTCCCCTCGACTTTGGGGATCTCTCGTCCTCTGCCTGAGGAGGCTTTGGGGGCTGCCCCCCTGAGGGGTGGGGAGGTCACCTACCTGCCTGGTCCAGGAGCAGGTTCCCGGGGTGGAGGTCCCGGCACAGCACTCCCTGCTCATGCAGTGCCTCCAATGCCACCAGCATCTCTGCCGCCCACTGCTTCACCTGCTCCTCTCTCACACTCCAGGTGGCCCTGCCACAGCCCCGGCCGGCCCCATCTGCTGACAGGCAGCTCTGATCCGTGCCTCGGCCACAGCCCCCTAGCACCAGGCCGGTCCCCTCGGGAACCCAAGTGAGTCCCTGAGGGGGCCCAGCGTCTGACTTCTGGCCAGCCCGCCTAGCTTGACGGCGCAGGTGGCCACCTGGGGCCTTTGGAAGGTCCGAGGAGCCAGAGGTGCTGGTCCTGGCTGTGGGTTCACCTTCAGCCTCCCTCTGGGGTCTGGTGGATGGGGCCTCCCCGGCTAGGGGAAGGCTCGGAGAAGTCCTAGGAGGCTCCAGGGCGATTCTGTCCTGGTCAGGGGTGTGGCCTGAGGGGAGCCTCGCTGGGGTCAGGAGGTTGAGGTGGGGGTTGAGCTGAGCCTTCATCCTCTCCTGGGTAGAGCCAGAGCTGAGCCCAGAATGTCGGGGGTTCGCCTGGGAGAGCAGGTGGGACCAGAGAGTGCCTCCTGGGCCATGCAGAGGGAGCGGTGAGCGTGGGGACAGGGAGAAAAAGAGCATGGATGCCAGGGCCCGTTCCCACTCCTGCCTCCCCTGTCTTGGGCACAGACTTTCTGCCTCTGGGTGTCCGGGCCTAGTTCAGCCCCTCACCTCTGCTCCCTCCCACCCCTCAGCTTAGAATGCCCTCTGCCCTCCTCTTGACCCACCTAAAGCGGGCCCAGCCTCACAAACTGGCACACCACCGACAGATGTCCAGCACTGCCAGTGTCTGTGGTTTGGGTGGTGGGTTCACTAATGTGAACACTGTTTTTAGGGAGACTGATATAAAGAAATTTAAAGAAGGCCAGGCACAGACTGATGATGACTATGTGTCATGACCCCAGATGTGGACCTCACTTTAAAAAGTCATCAATACAATCATAACTTCAGTCACCACCACCCTGTCTGGCCACTCCCAAGGGATCGGCACAGTCCAGAAAAATTAAAAGAGCCAACGCAGGAGGAAACAGCGACAGAGGAGACAGTTTCGATTCTCATGCCCACCCACGATGTGGGCATCCTCCCCAGGATGTCCCCTGCCCCCTTGGCACCGCACACAGGCCCACAACAGCCTGACTGGCCTCCAGAAAGGCCGCGTCCCCTGGTCTGTGCTGTACATCTGGTGCAAGTTCCACCCCTCCCCAGGTCTCAGCTTTTTTTTTTTTTTGAGGCAGAGTCTTGCTTTGTTGCCCAGGCTAGAGTGCAGCGGCATGATCTTGGCTCACTGCAACCTCCACCTCTTAGGTTCAAGTCATTCTCCTGCCTCCGTCTCCCAAGTAGCTGGGATTACAGGCACGCACAAGCACCCCTGGCTAGTTTTTGTATTTTTAGTAAAGACAGGGTTTCACCATGTTGGCCAGGCTGGTTTGGAACTCCTGACCTCAGCTGATCCGCCTGCCTCGGCCTCCCAAAGTGCTGGGATTATAGGCATGAGCCACCACGCCCTGCCAGGGCTCAGCATTTTAAGAATTGACAACATATCCCAAAGTCCTGGGGAGCTGACAGGGGCCCCCAGGCCTGCTCACCTTGCACATGCTCCAGGTGCAGGAAGATGGAGTCCTCGCTCACGAAGTACCTAAGCAGCTTTGTCATGTAGGGGACTCCGTGTGGGATGATGGTCAGCCGCTCCCGGCTCACCATGTGGCACCTGGGTAGGCTCTGGGAGGGGCAGGGCAGGCAGATCAGCCAGGGACAGGCCAGAGACTGCTGCTGTTAGGGGACCTCCTAGCCCTGGCTTCAGGGGCACCCGAATGAGGGTGGAGCAAATGCCTCCCTCAGTTCCTGACCTGTCCTTACCCCCATTGCCCCTGTAGAATCCGGGTCCTCCACCCTCTAGCCAAAGAGGGGGCAGTGTGTGTGCATGTGTGTATTTGTGTGTTTGTGTATTTGTGTGTGTGTAATGTGCATGTGTGTCCATCTGGAAAGCGGGGCATGTTCGGGTAGAACAAGCAGCTTTTGGCGGAGGGAGTGTAGGCTTCTAATGCAGGTTCTGGGTAGGAGTTTCCAAGAGCCCTGAGAAAGATCCAAGGGGAATGCAGAGTGGCAGGGGGAGGGTGGCACCTGCCTTCACCACAAAGGTCCCTCCTGTTTCCGGGTCCTGGACCAGCTGCACCTGCCAAAGTCCAAGAGGCACTGGTTAAGGCATGTGCTAGCTCCTGGGGCTCCGTGACCCCAGCCTGACCCCCTCCCAGGTTCCTCCACTGAGGCTGGCTCACTCCAGTGGCAGGGCAGGGAGAGCGGGCTTTGATGGCACTCCTGAAGCGGACATCGATCCTATCCTGCTCATCCACCCCTGCTAGACCTGTGGTCTCAGATGCTGCCTCCTCCAGGAAGCCTTCCCAAGATTACGGGGGCTGGGGTCGCTAATCTGTCTCCAGTGCTCTCTTAGTTCACCCTCAGGAGAGCCTCTTCACACTGTCTAATCTGTCTCCCCACTGGACTGTGAGCTCTGTATTCCCGGAGCCCTGCACAGTGCAGGGATGTAGTAGGTGCTGGACACACACACTGCGAGCAGCCCGAGCCTCGGCTCCGTGTGTGTGTGATGCGAGAAGAACGCCCTGCCCATGCTGGGCCAAGCCTCACATCACCTAAGGGGAGGGCTGAGAAGCCCTGTTCCACCTGGACCCCCAGAGATCAACTGAGAAGCCCTGTTCCACCTGGACCCCCAGAGATCAACCCCTCACCCAAGGCCTTGGCCAGAGCCCCACCATCCTGCAGGGTCTGAGGTGTCACGGCTGGAAGGGACCTCAGAGCCAGTCACTTCCCCTGATCTCTTTTTTTTTTTTTTGAGACAGAGTCTCGCTCTGCCGCCTAGGCTGGAGTGCAGTGGCGCGATCTCGTCTCACTGCAAGCTCCGCCTCCTGGGTTCATGCCATTCTCCTGCCTCAGCCTCCCAAGCAGCTGGGACTACAGGTGCCTGCCACCACGCCCAGCTAATTTTTCGTATTTTTTAGTAGAGACGGGGTTTCACTGTGTTAGCCAGGATGGTCTCGATCTCCTCACCTTGTGATCCGCTGGCCTCGGCCTCCCAAAGTGTTGGGATTACAGACATAAGCCACTGCGCCCGGCCTCTGATCTCTTGCTTTACAATTGAGGAAGCCACAGCTCTGAGCTGACTCCAGCTCTCCCCAGCGCAGCCACGTTGTGTGGGCTTGGCATGCTGCGTTCAGGCCTCTTCCCCACTCCACTCCACCCCCTTCATTTACACAGACCCCCACGACGCAAGTTTATCTATGTGAAAAACCTGCATATGTACTCCTGACTGCAAATAAAAATTACAAACAAATAAGTAAAGTCCTCTTGGAGGCTTTCCTTGGAGAGCAGCCTCTTCTTGTGTTGGTCTCCACTAGAGGCAGAGGCTGTCAATTGCAAGGTCAGGGTCGTGTTTGGAGTAGGGCCCTTTTCTCATCTGCGTGGTGGGCAGGGGCGGGCCCCAGCAGGAGGAGCGGGCACACAGGTACGTCGAGGGCGGGAACAGAGGATTCAGCCCAGGTGAGGGCGTGTGGAGGCAAGGCCCACACCCTGGGGTTGTGACTCCTTGGCTGCTGGCCTGCCCTGCAGACATTCCCCAGGGAGGCCGTGGCCAGTCATGGTGGGGGGTGGGAACTGGGTCCTGAGGCCAGGCTAGTGGGCAGTGAGGAAGGCCACAGCTTGGGATCAGGGTAGGGGAAGGGGCACTGGGCTTCGATCTTGGGCAAATTGAATTGATTTTCTCATCTACCAACCAGGAATTCCAAATGCCCACCTTCCCTACATCTCTGGATTGTTGAAGCCATACAGAAAGCCCTTGGTGAGGGCCGGGTGTGGTGGCTCAGGCCTGTAATCCCCACAATTTGGGAGGCCAAGGCGGGTGGATCACCTGAGGTCAGGAGTTCAAAACCAGTCTGGCCAACATGGTGAAACCCCATCTCTACTAAAAATACAAAAATTAGCTGGGTGTGGTGGTGCACACCTGTAATCCCAGCTACCTGGGAAACTGAAGTAGGAGAATCACTTGAACTCGGGAGGCGGAGTTGCAGTGAGCCTAGATCATGCCACTGCACTCTAGTCTGGGCAACGGAGAGAGACTCCATCTGAAAAACAAAACAAAACAAAAAACAAAAAACCAAGAAAGCCCTTGGTGAATGGAAAAGCTGTGAGAATGTCAGGGATCACATGTGCCAAGTCACATGGCCTCTCTGAATCTTGCTCCTTTTAAGTACAAAATGGGGTCATAGCAGCACTTCCTTCAGGGGGTCATGAAGAGGATTCTGTTAAAGCAGGTGATTCAGGCACAGCAGCAGCCTGCACCTGCCGCAGAACACACCTTTGACAACCTGTCGTGATTATTACCAGTGTCATCTGAGGGGAAGCCCACCCTGGCTATAAAGTGCTTACTCTGTGCCAAGCACTTTACATAGGTTGTTTAACTTTATCCCCACAATCCTGCCAAAATTCAGGCCTGAGCCTCAAAGAGGTTATGTGGCCTACTGTCCCACTGCTAAAAAGTGGTCAAGTCAGGACTTGAACCCAGGCAGGTTGATCCCAGAACCCTGCAGACTTTACTGGAACTGAGAGCACAACCAGGTGACCCTGGCACGGGCCTTCCCTCCTGAGCCTGTTTCTCCATCACCAGTGAAAGGAAGGCAGTGGGCTACACGAGCGCCCAGGATCCTTTTCGCAGCAGGAGCAGGGAGTCCTCTCCGACCACCAGAGGTCTCTCCTCCAACAGCCAGAGACTGAGTCCAGCCTGGGCTTGGCTCCCTGACCAAACTTGTGCAATATTTGAAAAAGCAAGGAAGAAAACTCTGGAGTCATTTAGGAGAACAGAGTTTCCCACAAATTCTGACACCCCGGATAATTCCCCACCGTCCCTTGCCAAGTGGGATTCCCCGCCACCTTGTCCCGGGCAACGGCCTCTGATTGACAGAGTCCAAAAAAACCAGCGAAGGAGGGAAGGCTGAGGAAGCCAGAAATAAACCTTGATCCATACACTGAAAGATTTCTGCTAAAAACATACTAAAACCAACCTCAGTATCCAGAAAGAATTAGACTAAAACATTAACAGTGATTATCTTGGAGTTAGGTAGGATTCAGGGGATTTTTTTTTTCTTCTCCTTTTTCTTTCATTATATTTCAAAAGGGCAGCAAAGTAGGGGGCATTTTCCCATTCATTCAACCAAACAAGAAACCCCTTTTACTCAGTGGTTTGGGGGACAGAGGACTGTCTAGTCCCTTGACTTATTTATTTATTTATTTATATTTATTTATTTATTTTGAGATGGAGTCTCACTCTGTTGCCCAGGTTGGAGTACAGTGACGTGATCTCAGGTCACTGTAACCTCCACCTCCCAGGTTCAAGCAATCCTCCTGCCTCGGCCCCCTAGTAGCTGGGCTTACAGGCACGCACCACCATGCCCAGCTAAATTTTGTATTTTTAGTAGAGATGGGGTTTCGCCATGTTGGCCAGGCTGGTCTTGAACTCCTGACCTCAGGTGATCTACCTGCCTCGGCCTCCCAAAGTACTGGGATTATAGGTGTGAGCCACCGCGCCCAGTCTACTTCTTTGTTTGTTTGTTTATTTTTGAGACGGAGTTTTACTGTCGTTGCCCAGGCTAGAGTGCAGTGGTGTGATCTCAGCTCATTGCAATCTACGCCTCCCAGGTTCAAGCGATTCTCCTGCCTCAGCCTCCCGAGTAGCTGGGATTACAGGCATGCGCCACCACACCTGGCTAATTTTGTATTTTCAGTAGAGACGGGGTTTCACCATGTTGGTCAGGCTGGTCTCGAACTCCTGACCTCTGGTGATCCACCCACCTCAGCTCCCCAAAGTGTTGGGATTACAGGTGTGTGCCACCGAGCCCAGCCCCGTTGAATTCTTTGAACCTCAGTTTAATTCTCTGTAGGACAATTATTAAAATGCAGCACTGTCCAATTGAACTTCTTATCACGATGGCAGGATTATACGTCTGCACTGTCCAATATGGAAGCCAGTAGCCACATGGGGCCATTGAACACTTGAAATGTGACTGATGAACTGAGACACAGATGACTTCGTTGGTAATGAATATGAATGCAGAGAGGCTTATGTGGCTAGTGACTACCGTGTTGAACAGCACCATATAAGCCTTTGCTCCCCCATGGTGACTGTGAGGATTTACTGCCACAGCTCTGTAAATGAGAAGGTTCTGTACAACTGGTGGGTGAGCTTTCCATTTGGGAAGATGGAAGGCAAAAAGAGTGATTGTTGTAAATAAAGAGACCCACTGAATTCTTGGGACAGAGGGACCATTAAAGTTTGGTGAAACATGGTAAACCTCTTCTTTAAAGATGCACAAAGTATCAAAATCCCAGGAGGAATCTCCCATGGAACAAACAAGCCTAAAGATTTCAAACAAGTTCTTAAACTCAAAGGCCCACAGGGGCCAGGTATGTGAGCAAAGGGGCAGGGTGGAGGCGCAGACGGGAGGGCTGGTGCCCTGTCTAAAGCAGGCATATCCTCCTTCATTCCCTGCTGCCACAGGGGAATGGGAGCCGAGCGTTTCCAGATCTGATTTTTTCAAGAGAAGCAGGAAATCTGGACTTTTATAAGAATCTGCACATTTTTAAATGTTGGTAACAACTAAAAAACAAACAAACAAACAAACAAACAAACAACACCCTGTGTTTAAGCCAAATAAAAGAAGTGACTTGGATGACCTTCTTTATCTTCCTCCACCCCATCTCAGAGCCTGGCTCCTGCATGAGGCTCAGCAAACACCGGTGACGTCTCCCTGGCCCCCAGGCTCTGAGGCCAGGCCCTCGGGTATTCTGGCTGCTTCCCAAGTCCCGATCCACCCACCTCACTGCTCCCTGCCACCATCTCTTCAGCCCCTATAGTTATCCCAACAGCCAGACACGTTAGGGATCACTCAAGCATCATCCCGAGCAAGCCCTTTGCTTCCTCCCTGGGCCTGAGGGCTGCTGCAGGCTGGCACTGCCCACCTCCCCGGATCTGTCTGGGCAGAGCTGTGGAATGGAACAGGGTGACAGTATATCCAAGTCTGGCTGCAGGGAGCCAGGCCCAGGGGTAGTAACACCTTTCCTAATTTGGGGAAAGTGATGGCTTGGGCATGACACAGGGAAAGGAAGTAGAATCTCAGGAGGGAGGTGAAGTCCTTAAGTTGAGTACCCCAGACAGGATAAAAAACAAAAAACAGAAGGGCAGCCCTGAAATAGAATGGGGCGGGCCAGTGGCTCATGCCTGTAATCCCGAGCGCTTTGGGAGGCCTAAACGGAGGTGGAGGATCACCTGAGGCAAGGAGTTTGAGACCAGTCTGGGCAACACAGAGAGATCGCCCTACAAAAAATAGAAGAAATTAGCAGGGCTTGAGACTGTGGTCCCAGCTACTCAGGAGGCTGAGCTGGGAGGATTGCTTGAGCCTGGTAGGTCGAGGCTGCAGTGAGCTGAGATCACGCCACTGCACTCCAGCCTGAGCTACAGAGCGAGACTGTCCAAAAAAAAAAAAAAAGAATGGTTGGGCTTGGCCTTAATTTGTGCTTTCCATCTGCAGGGGCCTCGATACACCAGATTCCTAAACCACTTTCCTGAGGCTAAACAAGTTTGGGGAATTCTGTGTCATAGTGTACATCTGCATCTACAAACTCTAAGAACTCCTATCATTAAAAAAACAAAGCAACATAACTTTAACTCACTGTTTTCCTGTCATACTCAGCTCAGAACCCCTCTTGCCATAACACGTATGGTTCAGCAGGATCTTACTGGGAGGCACGGTGTCAGTCACCTCCCAGCCGGTCCCTGGGAGCAGCTGTGCTCAGCCAAGGTTGGGTCGTGGCCACTGACACTCGAGCACTGGGGAGGGGACCATGGCAGATGGAAGCTGGCAGGGCCTGCGCTGACAGTCTGGGGCCTGCCCCAGGGACCCAGGAGAAGCAGCCAGAGTAAGGCCCGGGAACAGGGGCGTGCGTGCCTCCCAGCTCACTCCTGTCACTTGTATTTAGAGCCATCAAACATGTAATCAGTGTCATAGCATGTGTCAGGTCTTTCCCCAAAATTGTTTTACCTCCCAGATCACCCCATAGACAGAGAATTCTCATCTCACTTTCCAGAGGATGAAACCACAGCTCAGAGAGCAGGCGGCTTGCCTGTGGCCACCTGGGGTGGTGCCCAGCACGGGGCCTTCCCGCGGGCAGCAGGTCATCCTCTTGCCTGTGGGAAGCACAGGACTGTCTCCTTTTCTCTGCGGGCCCCTAGATCCACCAAAATCACCCAGCGAGTATGTTAAATAACAGATTCTTGGGCATCTGTATTTTTAGGACGCTCTCCATTTAGCCAGCTTGGTAAAGAACTTCTTGGGTGACTATTCCAGGGTTCGGGGAAGAGGGGAACCTCATACTGGCTGGACTCTCATCTGACCTCATTCTCTATCCTTCTGATTTCCTCACTCTAACAACGAGTGTCCTGAGTAAGGGTTGAGACGTCGCCTCCTATCTTCTTGTCTGCCCTGACTAAGGCAAAGCACGCAAGATGGGATTGAGACAGGGTAAAGTTATAGTTAGGTCAGGAGAGTAAAAAAGGGTAGACCTGCCAAGGGCCTGGGCAAGGAAGGGCCAGCGCGGGCCCTCTCTGGACAGGTTTCTGGAGTTGAGCACGTCCCAGCCGCAGGAAGTCCCCAGCTCTGCTCGGTGGAGTGCCTTGGCTGCAGCCCTGGGGTTCAGGGTGAGTGTGGTGGGGGTGCTGTGGGAAGCGGGAAGTGGGCGTGAGCACGGCCTCGAGGGCTGGCAGAGCGCCCTGGGCACAGCTCCTCACTCCTCCTGCAGTTTCTGTCCCAACTCTCCCAAGGAGCAGGTTTTCTGGGTCTGAGCTGCAGGGCTGTGGAAAGGGCCTGTCTGCCTCTTCTTTTTATATTTTATTTTATTTTAATTTTATATTTTATTTTATTTGAGATGGGGTCTTGTTATGTTGCCCTGGCTGGCCTCTAACTCCTGGGCTCAAGCAATCCTCTTGCCTTGGCCTCCCAAAGTGCTGGGATTCAAGGTGTGAGCCACTGTGCCTGGCCAATTGGCCTCTTCTCGTTCCCTGTATTTTCCTCTCCAGGACCTAGGACCAGAGTCATGCGTGTTGGGGATGGGGGAGAGGTGGGAACTGCTGGACACAACTGCACTCCCCTCTGACCCTGCCCACCTCCTCTGGAGGAGTGGGGGCCACTGCTACAACCTGCTTTCAGCACATCACATCTCTCTCCCCACTACCACCCCAAATTGCATACCCTGTTTCCCTCCTGCAGGGCAAGTGTCCACTCACTCACCTTCTCGATGACCCCGACCACCCTGCAGCCCCTCAGCTGCTCCACAGCAGAGCTCAGCGTGCGGATGGGCCGGAGCCTCAGGCTGCTGAAACCCTGCAGAGGAGGGAGACAGGCCACACGCAGCCTCAGAGCCAAGCCCTCCTTGGCCATGGCCTTCTCACCAGGCATCAGGCAGGAGCTTCTGGATGCAAGGAGAGCAGTAGGGAGGGCAGGGGTACAGGCAGGCCCCACCCCACAGGGGCAAGCTGGGTGGAAAAGCTGGCCTCGACTGACAGGTACCCATACTGGTCCAGGGTGGTCAAGCCAACTTCCCTGCTCAGCCCACCCAAGGCCCATGTTCTCTGGGCTTCAGAAGTCCCCTCTCAAAAGCCCCATCTAGGCCAGGCGCAGTGGCTCACAACTGTAATCCTAACACTTTGGGAGGCCGAGGCGGGCAGATCACTTGAGGTCAGGAGTTTGAGATCAGCCTGGCCAACATGGTGAAACCCCATCTCTACTAAAATACAAAAGTTAGCCGGGCGTGGTGGCGCCTGCCTGTAATCCCAGCTACTTGGGAGGCTGAGGCAGGAGAATCGCTTGAACCCGGGAGGTGGAGGGTTGCAGTGAGCCAAGATCATGCCACGGTACTCCAGCCTGGGTGACAAAGCGAGACTCCATCTCAAAAAATGCAGAAGCTCCCAAGGTGGGGGTAGGGAAATAACCTGGGAACCTGTGAGTCTCACAGAACATGCTTTGTAGACCAAGCACGTACTCTGGGGAAAGGCAGCCGTACAAGATGCAATGAGCCAAGAAGGGTTGTGTGAGTGCAAGCATCCGTGGGGTAAGAAGCACGCATGCATTTTCCACCCTCACTAAGCACTTACTGGTTTAGAGAAAGCCATATGGGGAGAGTGTGTGTGCACTTGTGGGTATCAGGGTCTGTTCCAAATTGCACGCCAGTTCACAACAGAGACAGAATCAGGAGACTCTGAGTGTGGACACACGTAAGCGTGTAAACTGAACTGTGTGCAAGGCTGGCAGATGTATATGTGCACGCATCGCAAGTGCTCTGTGAGGGAGGCAGACTGGACTGGAGATGACTCAGTGAGTTGTTTGAAAATGAATGAGCCATGAGGCATGGGAGAGAGAGGAAGCCAGGAGGAGAAGATGATGGGCCTCCCTGGCACACTCCAGCCCAACTAACGATCTCCACTGCCGGCCTCTGCCCTGCAGCCCAGGGCCGGCCTGTGGGTGTCGGGGCCTCCGCAGTCTCCCCTCAGAGCCCTTCTCCTGCTCAGGCCTTTGGGCAGGGGGTCTCCTCACCGTGCTGGGGCTGGCTCCACTGCCCAGCGGCCGCTGCAGGTGGCAGTTGAAGATCTCCTCTGCCCGCCGCAGGTACTTGGTAATTTTCAGCTTCACAGCCTCACGTCGCTCCTTGTTGGGGTCAACTGTGGGGGACGAGGGTCACCAGGGTCCCCAGCCACAGCCTTGGAGAACTGGAGTTCTAGCTCCCATTGCCTGCCCTCTGCTCTCCAGAGGAGGGAGCTCCTGTTTCTAAGCCTGGTTCGGCAGATTCTGCCCCCAGATTGCTTCGTGAGCCCCTCCTCTGGGGTGGGGGACCAGCCAGGAAGGAGGAGGAAGGGAAATGGCAGGAGGAGGTTAGGAACCAGGGTCACTCCTCAGCAGACAACACTTCACCGTTAGCACCCACCGCCTTGCTGGCAGCTGTCACACCCTGGAAAGGGACAGGGTGGAGATTTCCCCATCCATTTTTTTTCAGAGGAGGGGACAGAAGATTCCAGAGAACATTGCTTCTTCCATCTCTGATGCCCAGTGTGAAGAAGGCTAGGGTGGGGACCAGGATAAAGGAATTGACTGGACAGACTGGAAGCCCAGGCTTGAGGGGTCTCTTCAGCCAGAGGGCAGGAAGGGCCCAGTGGCCACCCCAAGCCTGGCCACCAGCCTCTCCCCTGGCATGGAAGTTCCTCATGCTGCCCTGGAGGGACCTCCCCTCTCACCTCTAGGCCTTGACTGTTCTCTCTCTGGGACTCTAGCCAGTCCTTCAGCTGGATAACGCACCTACCATTCTCCAGTGCTCAGATTAGAGATCTAACATCTAGAAAATGCTCTAGGCCAGCCCAGTCTGACCTCAGTTTCCCTCTTTCCTCTCTTCACTTCCCCCCTAATCCTCTTCCTACCTGAGACTATAATGGTCCAAATCAACTCATCAGTCTCCCCCCACTAGAATGCAAACTCCCAGAGGGCAGGAGCCCAGCCCAGCTCCAGGGACAAGCAGTCAGGTGTGGAAGGCCAAGTACACAGCCTGTGAAGTCAAACCCCAGCTCTGCCACTTGATAGCTGTGGAACCTCGAGCGAGCTATTGAACTGCCCCAGGCCTCAGCTTCCTCATCTGGAACACGAGAATTTAAAAAATGGTTCCGTGTACTTGGAACAACACACAACAACATATACAGTAATTTCTATTACTGTGACGCTCAGATGAATGAATCTACATGAAGCCCCTTAGAATGGTGCCTGGCACGTAGGAACAGCTTAATAAGTGCCAGCTATCATTGTCCTTCACGGAGGCCCTGCAGGCCAGCATAGTGCCCTGCTCACCCAGTACAAATGGACAGAGGACAGGACAGATGGATGACAGGAGGAGTCCTGCACTGGCCCTTCCCCACTCACCCCAGCCCCAGTCCTCACCGTGTATGCCACGGAGCAGCACGTCCACGCCATTCTGATAGTGGTTGAAGGCCGCCTCATAGTCTTCACCAACGTCGCGCTCCAGGGCCAGCCGGATCTGCGTGGCCGCATCCACCAGATAGTCACGCTTTGTCACGTCAGATGCCCCCAGAGCCACCCTGTTGCGAATCTGCTCCAGGTACACGCGAGCCTGGGACCGTGCTCGTGAGCAAGGCTCAGGCTCCAGGCCGGGGCTGGGCAGGCACTCGCAGGCCACCAGGCTCATGGCTGCCCTGCAGCTGGGACCTGGAATGGGCAAATGTATTAGGGAGGACCTAGCTGGGTGCAAAACCCCTATCCGCTCCCCAGTTTCCTCCACTGAATATCAGGGAGACTAATATTCACCTCCAAAGACTGAAGGGGTCAGAGCTAAAGTGGGTAAGGTCTTTTCATGGATCCAGGTCCTTCATAAGTGGTGGTAATGATAGAATCATCACCAGCTTGGGACTCTGTTTTCTTCCTTTTTTTTTTTTTTGAGACGGAGTCTTGCTCTGTCACCCAGGCTGGATTGCAGTGGTGTGATCTTGGCTCACTGCAACCTCCACTTCCCGGGTTCAAGCAATTCTCCTGCCTCAGCATCCTAAGTAGCTGGGATTACAGGCACTCGCCTACCACACCTGGCTATTTTTTGTATTTTTAGTAGAGACAGGGTTTCATCATGTTGGCCAGGCTGCTCTTGAACTCCTGACCTCAGGTGATCTGCCTGCCTC